TGAAATAAAAACTATATGTTTATTTATTCTGCAAACGTTTTTTTGACCTAAACATGTAGGGCCAATGGTTTCAAGACCGGACAAGAACTCAATTAAATTCTTGTCAATATTAACTCGGTTCTTGTTGGCCCTTCAAACGATTGCCCTGATGATGACCCATATGTTTGGTTCGAAAAGTCGGGCAACTCAACATGTTTTTTTTTACTGCGCATCCTGACCAATTATCATTCAACAGTCAGCTATGTATCCATCTCTTCTTTAAAAAGTTCTTAAATATGTTCCTTACTTCAATGTATGAAAGAAAGAAAATTTTACTTCAGTAATAATTTTAAAATAGTGTATTCATTATAAAAATATTAAATATTATTGATAGCTGTTAAAAGAGTAAAACAGGAACTCTGACTGCTTATAAAAGAACTTTACACACTGCTTTAAGTTTATACAGTTGGCACTGATTATAAAAATAACTCAATTTATTTGTGAATAAGCAAACAATAAAATCTTCGTTAAAATTACTAGCGGAGTAAATTTTAAAACGAATCAGGGAACTTCTATTATTTGAATATCTTTTGGAGTATCTCCAAACAGGGCCCCAACTCATTTTCCCAATCAGATAGCGTCCGAATCTCGATGATTTATGAAGAACTTTAAATAATAACGAAGAGTTCTTATAACGAACCTAATCTATTCTTACATAACGACCTAAAATTAGTTTTATATAATATTTAGGAATGCAATAAAGTTCTTATAAACTTTTTGAAGAAATTGGGATCTGCGTTTATCATAAACACATGGAAAAAATACAGAAAGAAAATATATTTTAGTGTGGGATATTGAGCTATCTAAGAATAATGCAGAATTACGATTGCCATTGGTAATACATTCAACAATAATTACAAAAATAAAAAAACTAAAAAAAAATATATTAAATGAAATGACCAATAAATAAATAAAATTAATTAATTATACATAAATAAAGTCTGTATGTTTACTAATCTGTAATTTAAAAGATCAGCGAAAAATAATTGATATCTACCATTTATATCATAAAACATTTTTCCAGAACAAGGAGAATCACTAATGAGTATTTTTATGATGGAAGAAGTTATATGAGAGGCAAACGAATGGTTTGTGGGTTAGGATCTCGTGTATATATAGTGAAAGGAAGAACAAGGAGTGAACAAATCAAGGATATAAGATGGATTTTGGGTTTTGAATGGTCGGCAAAGGAATACTCTAAGAAAATATAAATATCGAAACATCGAAAACCTAGGTAAAGCTCTCGGCATTAACACTTTAACTCGGCATACATACTGGCGGCAATAGAGGCCCCAATTTGGAGCATCTGACGGTTTCCAAAATAAATATAATAAAACAATTCAGTAATCACTTCAACCATATCTCATGCCCTTCAAACAGTCAACTTTTTACAAGGCAGTCATAATCAAAGTGGGAGAATATGAGAGAGGAAACTAGGAGTTGACGGATTCACCAAATCATTGTTTCTTGATTTTTGGATCAATTTATTAAGCCTTCAATTTATTGAAAATGCAGTAAATTTTATTTAAATTTATTTCGTCTATTTCGCAAAATAATGGACCTCCAAGTCACTCACTAAGGAATTGAAAGATGATCCGTAAATTGAAAAACAATTATTCTGTGGAAAAAAAAATCATGGGATATCCATGCAGGTAGAGAACACGTCATACTGAACTTTCCAAATAAGCAGGTAGATATACTTAATTGGTTTTCTGGAAACTGGTGTTGAGTTATAACTAATTCTGGGAAGATTAGAGATTAAATTTCTTAAAAAAACTTTTTATCTTTGCTATTTTAACCACACACCTTCACAGCTCTTATTTGCTTTTGGGTTGTTTCCTTCGTACTGAAGGAGCATAATAAAAATAAAATTCTACAGTAAAACATGGGTGATTATCTTCGGTTCTTTGAGTATTGTCAATTTTTATATGTACTTGTTCTTTACTTAGAATGTTTATGGATATCTTTTTACAGTTTTCAACATTGTAAACTTTTACGTACATCTGTGAACTTACCCATCGATATTATTAAATGTTACAACTAGAAAATTTTCATCCACAGAGCCTTATATCTTTAAGATGCATGTGAAGAATAAAATAATCGGCCAAGCTTTCGCCAATTGAGGCATCCTTAGAAAAAAAAAAAATCAAGATCACATCCCTCTATGATAACCATTCACGTACTGGAAGTGAGATGAGGTAATATAGTTGAGGAAGGAACAGATGGCCGGACAAAAAAAAAGTTAAAAAAACAACAGAAGAAATATATTTAATTGTTAATTAACCAAAATACATAAATATCGCCAAAAAAAAAAATGCAAATAATAAGAAAAACATATAAAAGAACAAATGAAGAAATTAAAATGCATATCAAAGGAAATTGATCATCAACAGCTGAACAAGCAGGACAAGTTAAAAAACAATACAAATTAACTAGAATTATTCAAGATGTTCAACGTTCCAGAATAAAAGTTTCAAATATCTGCTGATAATTAACAGCATTATCTCACTTTTATGCAATATGAATTTTTCAAATATCTTTCTTTTAGAACTATGCCTCTGTTTCTGTAACACTCGTATATAATTAAATTCAAATTCAAGTTTAAATACTTTAGAGCAGCGATAAGCTCCATTCTGTTAAGATTCCGGCAATCGCATTGATGCTGGACATTCTTCATTGCAAATTTAGGGACGTTTTACCAACATTCACCTTGGAACAATGCACACATCTTATTTCATAAAAATCTGATATATTTCTGGATTAATATGTTATCCAGTGGGTTAATATGTATAGTGGCATATTTTTGAACGCTTATCATCCGTTTGATTAAAACCTTCCTCAGGTATGTTAAATCATCTTTCCTCAAGTAAGCAATTGGATGATATGGAGTGATGAGATCTTGGGTTAGTTTTGTTGTTTGTTCTGATGATGCCTGAATCGGTGAAAAGTTTATGGGTTATTTTATTCTTTAACTGCATTTAAGAGGATGTGTATCTGTAAAATTTTCTATTATAATCTAAGATTGATTTTTTATATTTTGATGAACTTTTACTCGTCTAGATTAAGATATTAATAAGACCAGAGAAATGATTCGGAAATTGAATCGATGAATTAAATAAAATCCGATATTAAATACACCTTTGAATTCCGGATGTAAATGGGACTGAAAATAAAAATAATACAACTCTAATTTAGAGGGTATTATAGGATCATGGAATGAATAGACACACCGGGTCTTCCCTGAGCTTGCATAAACTGGTGAGATTAATTCATTCCTTTTTTCATCGTTAGTTTTAATCTTTTTTTTCTGTAGAGTTTAATTAAATCTGTAGAGTAAAGGACTTTTAAACCCAGCATACATTTAAGTAATTTATAAAGTAATATTTTATCCAGATTTGTCGTTGGGTTACTCTTACCATTCATTGACAATGGAAAAAAGTATTTATAATGTAACCAACTAATATGTATAGATACTACAGCATATATATATATATATGCTGTATATAGCAACAAGTACTTCCGTTGAAAAATGGGAATGATAGTTTCTCATCATGGCATTACTTTCTCTTATTATGTATTTAATATATTGGTTGGTGAAAGTATCATAAAAATTATATTATATTTTTGTTTCTCTCATGTTCACCATACCACCTCGGCTAAAATTATTGTAAAGTTTTAAGAAATCAGTGGTAGATTAATTATTTGTTTGTTAGTTGATTCAAATGGCAAAGTAGCCGTTTACTTTTGTCTATAATCAAACATGAAATAGACAGGAAATTGCTGGCTGTGACAGTTGGAGTTAGTCGACAATAGCTAAAGGAAACGTTGGATAACTGTGTCAGGAAAATCTAACAATAGTTTATACCGAACGTTCTCCGTTAGGAGAAGTTTGTGTCACTGGACATTATCAGGTTCACAATATGACAAAAGGTGTTCAACATGTAACAACGTAATGTGGCTTGATTGAAGTTGTGCGGTAAGCACTTGTAACTTACAAGTTCTAATTATAGACGGCATAGAAGATGATTGAAAGAAAGAGAATGATTTTTTTGTAAGTGTACATACTTCTACAATGCGTGGTAATATGTACACAAAGTAAATAAAGAGAGTTTTATAATTAAAAAATATATAATTAAAAATCAATTAATACATTTCAGACAAATTATTTTAAAATACATCTTTACATAGTAAATTATACATATATGAGGTAAAGATAAAAATGTGTTAAAATGTAGTTTAGTGTATACGGCAATGTGCTCGAATTCTCAGAGACCAAGATTCAAATTCGACTGTGGAAAATAATTATTTTCTGACTTCAGATTGACTCTGGTGTCGGGCAACCTTCCTGGGTCGCACTCAGCGTCTATAGTGTGGACACCCTTAATGAATAAGTTTATCCATATGAAAAAAACAATCAGTGTCATCTCTACCAACTGGTTCAAGTAGAATTATCAGCTTAAAATATTTTTATATAGAAATAAATACCCAAAATTTGTTATGCATATTTTTCGATGTACAAAAATTATTACAGTAAATGATGATATAAGAATGTTAACAGCAGTTATATTACAATTCTTATAAGAAGTACGAATCAACGTTTTTTCATGTTCTTCTACGAGTTATCAATTCAGTTTTTCATCTGATCGGTTGAACTATTTCTGAGGTTCTATAGATACAATGTAATATAAATTTTAATATTTCTCCTATTTTAGTTTCATCAAATTCCAAGCTTTTGGCCTAATCACCATAATTTAAGGTGTTATCATGGAAATTTGTTTTTTAAAATATTTTTTTCGAGTTAAATTTAAAATTATGTTAGGCCATACTTGATTAATTTGCCATAAGACAGAGTTATTATTCGATACTATTAGTTCATCTTATTTGCAATATGTGGTTACTTTCACCAGGAACCTGCAAAAACAATGCATTGAATAGGTGTTTTATTTAATGCAACAACACATGTTAGTAAAAGTATTTATTTATATTAAAAAACAATCAAACAGAAAATATATAAAAAAATAATATACAATTATCGAAGCCATCATAAGCTTCGTAGAGCTTGAAATTCTTATTGGATGTTTTTGATTTTTTTTTGTTGAAGAATGTCCTTTCACTTTCCATAGCCCGTATTTGTTGGAGCATAAGTTGGCGAAGTAAATTGGTTTTGGTACCAGGGTTTCACATAGCTCTGAGACCCGTAATTTCCGGAGTACCTTCCATCAGCCCATTGCTTCGAGCCAGTGGTGTACTTGGTATTGTAATCTTGTCCCGTTGCTCCGAAACCGACGCTGTTGTAGCCATAACCAGAGGCACCAAAAGAGCCAGGATTGTAAGCTGCGGAATATCCCACAGTTCCGAAAGTGTTGTATTTGGGAGTGGACGTCGATACTGTACTGACAGGAATAGAGCTGGCTGTGTTGTATTGGTAGCCAACGTTTCGGTACCCGGGTGCGCCGTATGCATTATTGAGACCTGGATTTTGACCACTGTAAGCATTTAGCCATGGTGTGTTGTAGGGATTGTTCGGCGATCGAGAACCGAAAGCATTTATGGGTCGGTTTAACGCTGGATTCGCTTGGTACCTGCTGCCGAAACCTGCATTATAACCAATACCCTGGTTGCTATATCCTGGATTATATCCGATTCCCGGGTTGCCAGTGGCTGGATTATATCCAATACCTTGATTGGCATAACCTTGAGGATATCCTGTGGTTCCAAAAGTGCTGTATCTGTTTCCGTAGGCTGGAGCTGCTGTTGGATAAGCACTGTATTGCCCACTGTTCCAATTCTTATTTCCATATGCATTATATTGGTCCTGGTTGTAAGGATATGAGCTTCCCGCCCTAAATCCAGTTACAGGGCTTTGATAACCGTATTGTGGCTGCCATTGACCAGCATTCTTGTGAGTAACATCGTAACCGAAACCCGTTGCTATAGGTTTCACTGAAACATACAAAATAAATAAAAAAAATTTACTAAAAAAAATCGTGCATTGTTTTCTTAATATTAATCGAAACTAAAAAAAAATGTTATTGAACATAATGGCTTGTTGCTGGAATGTTAAATATAAAATATAAGTTTGACAAGGAAGCAGTTATTAGCAGATGATTTCCGGAATCTGCTTAACCGGGGCAAAACAGAAAATACAGTAAGGCATGATGAAATAGTAACAGATCTTGAATCAGAAGTCAGTCGACGATGACGTCCCCTTCTCCTCACCACTTCCCCTACAAAGAGGAAATAATGGAAATTGTGTAGGATCTGAAGAATTATAAGGCGCCAGGCATAGTCGCAATCCAGATCGAATTTTTCAAGTATAATGGAGATGGAGTTTAGGATGAGCTCCATGAACTTATTTATGATTTATGGATTATAAGAAGGAAGACTAGTGCAGAAATTATCGAAGCTTAGCACTGCTTAGCATAGCTTATAAAATACTATCCTCTGAAATCGGTAGGGGACTGATATCATACATGGAGAGAGAAGTAGGCGAATATCAGCGTGACTTCAGGAAGGATAGATTGACTGTTGATCAGATCTTTACCGCTGACAGGTGCTAGAGAAGTCACTGAAATACAACGTCAACTTGCATCACCTCAACATTGATTTTCAGCATACGGCTCTGTCGATAGGCAGGTTTTAATGAGAGATCTCCGCTCCCTCTGGTTGTATCTAAGAAACTCACTCGCTTAGTAAAAATGATTATAGAAGATACTATAATCCTTGCAGAGTTAAACTACAAGGATTGCTGTCTGAGAAGTTTTCCCTGGGTTCGGGAATAATGCAAGGTGACACCAAGCCTACTCCCCTTTTTAACATGGACCTTGGAGAAGGCGGCAATGATCATAAGAACCAACCGGGCGGTACCGTCTTTGTCCCCTTTACACAAAACATGGTGTAGCGATTGGCGCGGAAATTTGTGGCAAGGACGCTCCCAGCGCTGGCAGATCTTGAATGAATTTGAGACCGCTGCAGCAGCTCCAAGGTCTACAAACATAGGGAAAAAGGCGATGTACATAAAGAGCTTAAGACATCGCCCTCATCAAGATCGGACACTAAGCATAGACCAACACGAATTCTCAGTATACAGAGAGTTAAACTACCTATGATCCCTTATGACGGCAGACAATGATGTAGGAGCTGAGATAGGAGCCAGGATTGCTGCGGAAAGCCGACCTGGCAACACTAGAGTTGTTTGTATCACATAAATGATATAAAAATCTATGAATAAAATGTTATAGACTTCAGTATATTATTTCCGTATTAATATTACCATACATTTCTTGGAAAAACTCTATTTTCATAAGGTGGTTTCTGAATAGAACCTAACTTTAAATTAAAATTAACTATTATCTTCCGTAGAGCTAATGAAGTTGAAGTGGACTATAAAGGTTAAGATACTCAAAAATGATTGATAACTGACTGAATTAAAATAATTTTAAAAAGATGTTCATTCAATGGAATTGTAACAGATTTTTTGCGACATTTAGAGCACCTAAAAATGACAATAAGCGAAGAGAACCCTATTCTAGTTTGTCTCCAAGAAACACACTTACAAGAAACTCAAACAGTGAGATACAAAGATTACGATATATACCGAAAAGCAAAAGATCGTCATGGGAAGACTTCGTATCTTCATTAAATCAAAGCATTTCAATGAAGGAGCTCTGGAATAAAGTGAAAAGCATTAAGGGGATCTCCAAAACAAAGAAATTTCCTGGCATAAAGAGTGGACAAGACATTATAACTGACCCTGACGAAATCGTTAACGAAAGTGATAAAACTCTGCAACAGAGTGTAATTTAAAGGCGTTGCAAATGACCCTACAGGGTAGAGGCAACAAAATACCAAATAAATAAAAAGATGTTATCTGAAATTCTTTGTACTTTGAAATTGAAAACTTAATTTTATTCAGAGGGCTCCATTTCGATAAACGAACTGGGTTTTATGATATCAGTTAAGCACGGAAAAACATGAACAAAGAGCAATTAAGGCTGCAAGGCAGTCTATACAGCCGTGCTTTACACACCCCATCAATTAGATAAGAAGATCCCGGACTGTGATATGCCTTTGTTGAAAGAAATAGAACTAATTATTGGGGTGACTGATTAGTACCACTCCAGCCTTTCCTAGTTTCTGTCGACCTTGTGCACAACTGTACGATATTTCATTCCATTGTTCCATCCCGTAGATGAAGAAACCTATAAGGCTTATCAATTAATTACTTTCGCACCTATCTTATGATAGTGATGAAGTATTACACCTTACTCCGATCGAATTGATAGTTGTTTTTACAATATTAAAATTAACATTGAAAATTAAATTTTATGTTATTTAAAAAATGACTCCATCGATGCATTCCTTAGGAAATTCAATAATCATTTAAAATCAATTTTAGTGAAGAAAAATAATACAATCTGCTACAGTCTAGGGCATTGAGTATTATGGCTCTATGTTTACAGTTATAAATTTTATATACAAATTAAAATATTAATTGAGAAAAAAAAAACTAAAATAAGAAGAAAACATGTAAGTAAAATTATATATAATAAAATATGAAAAAGAAAAACTTGAATATTAAAATATGAAACTTAAAAAAATTGTAAAATGAAAAAAATAGTGTTATTTATTAAAATTGTTATTTCATTTTTAACGTTTCTAATTTTTGTTAGATTCCGATTTGTCGAAATGGTGGTAGGTGGTAGAAAAATATTGAATTCACCAAACGCATCTTCTCTAATATCTGTTTAATTAATATCCAAATTTTCGCCTTTCTAAAACTATTCAGAGAGACTGTAAATGAGCACAAAACCTTAACAACAATTGGTTATGTGGAAATATATACTGGAATATAGGAGAAAGAGTGAACAGTCAAGCAAGACATAGATTGAAGATGTAAAGAAGACCACTTGAGTTAGATCATGACAAAGGACTCAGAAAATGCTTAGTTATAAAATCATTAATACACTTCTGATGCATTATTGAAGATAAAATAGAACATGTAGTTAAAAATAGAAAAAAAAATTATTTTAATTTGAACGTTTTAGCTATAATACAGAGGAACATCCCACGGTTAGTGGATGTGGGGATGGTCCGTGGAAACTCCTAAGAAGTTCCTGACGGCCAAGTCCGATGGACTCACTGACCGGAATATAATTTTACCATTCTTTGTAACTTTTTTGCCAGCTTATTTTCGTTAAAGTATGTTGTATAGATAAATTTATAGGGCTTCGAGAAGAAAATTTTAGCGAAGTTTTATTGAAATCGGTACATTCGTTTAGGCGCTGCAGTCTATTTCGTCTTGGCAACGCAGGTTTTTCGATCGTCATCATAAAAGGAAAATGCGGATAAAAATGTCAACGAAGAAGGATCATCGTCGGGTGACGTAATTTTAAATCCAAATTTTAAAAAAAATCGGTACAGTAGTTTCGGAAAAAATGCGCGGACAACGTACTTTTGAGAAGGGGTTAACTTTTTGAATTTTTTGTATAATTACAATGGTTCATTATTGAATATAATAAACCAATAAACCACACTAAATGAACGCACATCCCTTCTTTTAAAATGTAATAAAAGATGTATAATTAAATTATTTAGTTTAATATTGAGGACTTGTTTAACCTGTTTATAAAATTCTCGAATATATTGTATCAACAACCAAAATAATGTATATTGAACAATTAGTAATATTAATTTTGACAAATAATTGATGGAAAATATTCATTGATCCATAAGAAATGTTTAGTTTGTAAGTTATAATATAGAAATTATATTATTTGTGCATTCTTACGTTTATTTTTATAAAACTAGGTACTTACTTCATACTATTAAAGGTTTATAGCATTAAAAAAAAAATTTCTTTATTATTGTATTATGTATATATATTGCTCATCTCAGATTGATTAACATAATAAAATTAAAGAGAAAACTACAACTATAAAATCTATAAATTCTTCTCCATAAAAAAAAGATAAATATTTAGTTTAATATTGGGGGCAGAACTTGTTTAGACTGTTAGTTTCAAAATCAGGATTAATTTAAATAAAATATATATATATATATATATATATATATATATATAATATATATATATATATATATATATAAATATAATCGCAGATCTGTCAATATTAATTTCAACATATTAATGAAGGAACATTAATCATTGCACCACAACTAATATTTAGTTCTTTAAAATAAAAATAGGTACTTATTGTATATATTTACAGTATTTCAGAATTAAAAAAAAACTTTTCTTATTATTATAATATATTACGAGCATAAATTATAAAATATTCTGTAAAATTCTTAAATATTGCCCTCACCGGATGATGCCTGGGCTTCTTCTCCTGAAACTAATGAAGCAGAGCATAGGAACGCAATCAACATCTGCAAATAAAATAAATAAATAAAATAAAATAAATAAAATTAAAATATAAGAATTAATGTATATTCAATCAAATTATATAACTAGCCAACAAAATGTAATAATACCTAAAAATATACTCAACAATCTAAATTAAATAAATCATTACTTGTTACTTTACAGTTTTGAAATATAAGTTTCTCTTAATTCGATTGATCGTGGTCGATTTGAGCTATAAGCATGGTAGTTGAGTGTCATTATATAATGTTTTTATTTTTTATTTATTTATTGAGTATTACAACAATCTGTCACATTATTTATAGTGAGGAAGGATAATAATTATGGGGAAAAATAATAATCAAAAAGTATATACAATAAATAAAATAAAAAAATCTAAAAATAAGAAAATTAAAACCAAGTAAAAACACAGGTATACCATTATATAAATTTAAAAAAAAAATGAAATGCGTTAGAAATCTAAAATATATCAATATAATATCAATGGCAATGCTGGTGAAAATATTCGAAAAATTAAGCAAGGCAATTTTTAAAAATGCGTTAAATATCAAACCACATAGAGGAAATTATAGAAAACTTTGCAACTTATGACTTATCAAATGTAAAATTATAGCTTTACAGTAACAATAGCAAAATACAACAGTATTTATCTAACATGAAATGTAAAATTATAATAAAAGATAAATAAATGTCATATGTAATAATAAATAACACTAGAGAATTTTATTATTATAATTTATACTAAATATAAATTGTAATAATAAAATAAAACGGTGGAGAAATGTCTAAAAAAATAACGACTAATATGTTTCAATATAGAACAAATTGTAACAATATCAAAACTAAAAACAATAAATAAACACAGCCCAACACAGCATAACACTAAACCAAATGATGTTATAAAAAATCCGGAAATTTTAAATAAAAAGAAAGATATATAAATAATGAAAAATCAATGGAGGCATGTACATAACAAAAAATACGGAACAGACAATTAATTATAAAAAGGACACAAACAAATTAAGCAAGCATTATACAGAAATAATCTAAAACTGAAATTATAAATCATAAATACCAATAAATTAATTACAATGAGACATACATTTTCATCCGTGACAAAATATCCGAAATCCTTTCAGATGCGAAAAATAAACATACAACTCGCAAAAGTCTAAGAAATGGAGGCTTCAACTAAAAATTATACAATTTATGGTGGATTGAACCCACGATAATTATAAAAAAGTTAAAACTTCCTTTAAAACAAAAAAAAAAAAATCATTTTCAAGATTTAGCAGAGATGCAGCCTATTTTCACATATTTTTTTGTCAATTATTTTGAAAGAACCATTGTAATCGATCATGGAACATAAAATTAATTTCTTTCCCTCGTTTTATGTATCAAGTATAGTCAGTTCTTAACTGGCTAATATACTTTACAAATTATTTACGTGGGCCAACCAATATTCTTTACAATCAAAGAGAAAAAGAATTAACATATTTAAATGGATCTGTTATGAACTAAGATAAAGTGGTACATACTATATTACACCAAAAGTCTTAAATTTTTGTCATGTCATCTTTTATGACGATCATCAAACTTCATGTTTAAAATAAATATAATAGTAATAGATCTGCATAAACTTGACAATGAAAAACCACGAGAATATTTTGGAATTCTGGATTGTTTTTAATTTATCCGCAAAATGTTGAAGAATAAAACATTATCAGTATGCAAACTACTAAAAAAAAATCAGTATATATAAAATTGCATCAAATAATCTGCGTTAAACTGTATTGCACCTGCAATTATATAATATTACAGTAAGTATATAAAAATTACATTTTCCTAGAATGGAATGTTATAAGTGGGCAACGCGAGAGTCATCGATGACTACCTGAAGGCGTTGGGTTTAACTAAAAACCGTCAATTTTTTCCCAAAATAAATGATGACAGTATCTTATGTAAAGCATAGACAATCAGAAAGTCATTGAAATCATCGATAGTATGCGTTGGTATGTTTTAAATTAAACGTACCGAAAATTTGCAATTGTTTAAGAAAAGAGAACAACTTTTCAAAATTGTTATTATGAATATATTCTATTTTACCTTGATTTACAACGAAATCATTCAATACATTTTTTTCTTTATTATAAATAATATTGTTACATAATTGGATTTATCCGCATAAAAGCTATAAATTCACATTACATGGTAACAATACATTTTTTTTTAAATTGTTAATAGAGAACTTCTAATGACTTTCGACATTCACACACTATTTCATTGAGAAATTTTTGTTGAACCGATGAAAAGATAACATCGTTTGTTGACACACTCAATCAAATATCTTCTTAATATTTTTTTAACTTGCAAAATGTCCGTATTTAGAATCAGGAAGGAAATAACGTCTTTAATTAAATAAACAAATACAAAATATAGATAACAACTGTTGATTTTGGCCTGTTTCCAGAAAACAACAGAATATCATTAAATCGTCTTTGAATAATAAGAATAATGTATACTTTTAAAAATTTTTGATTTATATAATAAAGCTCGTTGTCCATTTTATCATTAAAGTTATTCATACCAGCACTCAATAATCCTGGCCCAAATCACTTTTCAAATTTATTAAATGCTGTTTACAATGAATAACCTGTTTTATTTATTTATTTTTATCTAAAAGAACGATGTAATGAAATAAAAGTCGGTAAGTTTAGATAATTATAAATAAGAACCACAGCACGCTATCAAAACAATGTTCGTGGATATTTTATCGTTTATTTCACAATGTATATATATATATATTTTTTTTTTTACAACACATTATATATATATATTATATATAAATATATATATAAATATTATATATTTAAATTATTATTAGTTGTAAAATTTTATGTTCTAATTAATATTCCTTGTATCCTTATTTCATATGAAAGGGCTTAGCATGTATTGGATTATTTATATATTATTTTTCATTTACCTACTCACTGGATATTATGGAGCTTCAAAAATCGAATCATTGTTATTGTTCATAATTAATTTCAGTAAAAATTTTAAATATATATTTAATACCGACAGAAAATACGTTGTAATAAATTCAACTTGAGAATAAAATTTGAAAAAAGAAAATACAGAAAATAAAATTTCTTCACATTCGAAATTATACAGGATGCATATTTAGTAATATTTTGAATTCAGATGAGAATATGATGGTTTATCAAATATCAAATGATTACAGTGGTTTATGATACATGTATCAAATGAAAGTTTTTCCCTACAAATTTTCAACAAACGTAACATTAGTTTCCAAAAAAAAAAAATCAATATTTACATAAATTAACTATCAATCCAAATATTTTTAAATAAAATTAATAATTCAAAATAAATAATATTATGAACTCTTTCACCTCCTATCAATGCTACAATTAATTTTTATTTTTATTTATTTTGACAAGGTTTCAGACCAACTTTGCCCATTTTCAAATCCAACTTTTTTTATCATTATCTTATCCTTACCTTCTTCAGAAGTTAATTTAATAACTATTTATGAATAGTCCATTCAACAATTAAAATAAAGATACTTTGGGCACGCCTCACTAGTTAAAATTCTTTTTAAAAATTTCATTAAAATGCTATACATTTTCGTCCTATCTTTTTAATAGTCTTATGTCCATTGTGAGCTATGGGCTTACATATTATTATCTAATATTATAGGCGAGGATAAGAAAATCATATAAAAATTTCGACTGGAAAATGAGCAAAGTTGGTCTGAAAAGTTGTCAAAATAAATAAAAATAAAAATGAATGGAAGCATTCAGGGGAGCTGAAAGGTTTCATAATGTTATTTCCTTTAAATTATTATTTTTTCTAATTAATTAAAAATACACTTGAAAAATTTGAAGATTTAATTAAAAACTAAATATTTTTGTACATAAAAAAATGTTTGAATTATTATATATTCAGCATACATATTTAACCGTAAATCACAACATTTTTTTCAAAAATTGTAGTACTTACTAAATTGTATTCACTGCATTTACAAAAACCAGAAAACTAGAAAAATTATCGCTATTTATTTTGTTTTTTGCACTGGTTGTATTTCCACTTAATTTAGGGACGACAGCATGGGAATAAATATTAATTAGTATTGAAATTATCAATTTAAAAAAAAATATATTTTGAATCCGAAAACATAAAGGTTGTTTATCCGTATATTTTAATTTTAAATTTTTAGAATATGTTTGAATAATGAATTTAATATTGAGAGACAGAAAGTAGTTTACCGATTCATTTCTCATGGACGGTCTGATCCGCCTCTGTAAATAGACACTAGCGGAAACTTATAATTGTCTATGAGATAAAAAACGCAATTAACTGATAACATCTATACTTATCAATCATGAGGGCTAACACCGAATCGAGGCATCAATCACTACAGCACCTGAATGTTGTTGGTATCAAGTAAGCAGAGGAGAAATATTACCTGAGATCCAGAAGCCATGTTGGAGAGCACCAAACAGATTGGTCAGTGATGGCTTATATACGAGGGAATCCTCCAAGGGCAGCACATCCCACCCCCACCTTATGTTTCGATTGTGGAATCACCTTGGAGTACGGCTTCTATTGTCCCAGCTGGTACTGGTACGTATTTTGGGAATTGTCCTATACGCGGTAAGTCGATGGAAGGGTCTGTATCAGGGTAGAAAGAAGATGACATGGTTCTCTTAGATTAACTGATCCTAAAGGGTAACCATTGATTTATTTTTCGAAATGTACATAAAGGATGCCTTAGAAGAAGAATGAAATATTTATAGGACTTATAGCCGGTCCCAAGAGCTACAAAAAAAAACTGTTATAAACAGTGTCCTGATTTACAGCGAAAAAAGTAGTAATGTTTTTTTTTCTAATCAAGTTACGTTTTTTTTTTATTAAATAGGAAATGATGACCAAAGAAACATCTAATTTAAGTAATTATTAATTGCTTCATAGTATACTATATACAATTTAATTTAAAGTATAATAGAGTTTGTCACTGTTAAAACCAATTAAAGAGGACTTTTGAGCAGCTTTAATAAGCTAAATTCTGTTTTTAAAAAATCATAAATTATTAGCGATTTTTTTTTTATAACCCTTAATTTTACTACAGGCATTTTTAGAAACACGTTTTTGTTTAATGACCTTTAAGTCCATATTAATTAAGTTGAGGGTTTATTGGAAAAAAAACTTGAGGTTCAGGATTTGTAAGATTTGTAAAAAAAAAGAATGTGATTTTATATTAAGTCACATAAAATTATCTGCATTTTCAACAAAATGACAACAAAAAAATGTTTAAAAACTTTCATTTCTTGTTTTACTATCTAGAATGTATTAAAATAAACAGAATTATCTCAATACACTTTTTATTTATAAAAAAACAACTAAGGTGTGTGCTTTGAACCACACGATATAAGATATAACCAACAAGGCGAGATTAATAATATGAAATAGAAATTATAAATAATAACCCGTACAGGGCATGGAATGCTGAAAAATTCCTTCACTTACAGTATGCAGGTCCGACATTTAGTTTCTGAGATATTTTAATCCATATATTCTATAATTTATTTTTCGACACTATCTTTTCCTTTTTTTCCACCTTAACACGGCGTCGTGTTAAGATAAATTTGTTTTTCATAAAAAAAAGAGGATGAAATGATGAAAATTTCTCTTACTTACAATATGCAAGTACGATTTTTAATTTTTCATAAATTTTCAAATTAAAATGGGAAACTTCAAATTATTTTATTTATAATTATATGTATTTTTTTTCTTTTTTAGATCTTGAGGTTTGGCATCACCTGCGTAAATGTTTTCCTCTACTTACAGGTCACTCTGTATACTTATATGTGAATAGATTTAACAAATCAACAGGAGTTTAGCAACGGTTAGGAATGGTAGTTTGTTGATCTGATGTGATTTTTAACTCTTAATTCAGAAATCCACAGAAACGAAGTAAAAACAACAGAAAAGAAATAACAATCACTATAAATAACAATTGTGAAGTTATTTTAAGGTATAATTAATTGATTTTTTTTTTATTTTAAGCCACAATACTCCATTGTATGATAAAAAAGATAAAGTATATATAACATTCATTCCCTACAAAAATCCCTTCGAGGTCTTTGTAGGGAATGAAGTGTTAAGCGTGTGCACAACACCACCGTTGCTCGGAAACCCGATATATGATACAACTGATAAAAATCCCGGTGCCGGGAGTCTTTTAAATCCCCGCCTACATCCCCTGGCCTGGAAAACCCCGTATATCCTTAAAGGCGAGTAAGGGATGGACTCCGAAAAAAAAAAACTTATATTTTAATTGCATAGGCACATTTTAAAAATTTATTTTCTTTCTTATATTTCTGCTGATTAGCTGTTAAATATAACCTTCCTTAGCTGTGTTAAAAGAAACTTCTCTTTCCTTCAGTATGCATATAGATGGCTTCGGGATATGTCTATAGGAATAATTGTTTTTTTTTTCTTCCTATGTGATCATGGATTTTCTGTCCACATGATGCCTGAATTGGCAAAAATTTAGCAAGTTAACTATTTACCTATATGTTGCAGAATATTGGCTTTGTATTCTGGATTTTCCCATTTATAACAAATATGTTTGCAAGATACTAATTTTCGATCTAGATATTATTATTAAAGGACTTTTAAAAATCTGGGGAGCTATATCTAAAAAGTAAAGGATTAACAAAACAAAATTTATGTTTATCATGTGCACTGTATGCTTTCTTTATGGAATCTTGCCATTACTTGACTCATCATACAATTAAGATAAATATATATATTTACAAGTTTTAAAAAATATAAGAAATAAGAAAAGTAAAAATGGAGGAACTAAACATGATATACTACCTGTTTTTCATTTTTAATAACTTAATGACAAATACTTTTTAAATTATATTTTTAGCATTTTGCAGCCATTTTTTTTGTTTATTTGATCTTAGAAAAGAAAAGTGGTGCAATCGATTCAAGTCTGGCAACGATGAATTCAATAGATGTATTGACCAACTTACTGAATGAGCTCGCGTTCGTCTTTTGAAACGAAATTTTCGCGGATGAGTCATCCTCTTCGGTCATCGAAATCCTGAACCTTATTTGCAAAAATTTACTCCGAACTTCAAAACATCCAAAACTCCTCACGTTACAACAATTAACTTCTCTCCTTGAATTCAATACCATGTTATCACTTTTGATTTAGCTCATGACTACATTCTTGTGAATGAATAAAAGATGAATCTTCTACATATCGACTATTGGACCTGTAGTGGTTTCGCAAATTTTTATGGACAATCTTAATTTTTTTTTTTTTTTTTTTTTTTAAAGCACCACAGGTGGCAGTGGATCAGCTGATGCGAAAGGACGTGTTTCTACATCGTCTCTCAGAATTTACTTATTTTGCAGTGAAATCTTTGAGATTATTTATTCAAAACAAGTCAAGAATACATAATAACAATTGATATTTATTTTTTGTTATAAATTATAGGGTTATTTTTATTTATTTTATTTTATTTTTTTTTTCATTTTTTTTTTTTTTCCCTTATATGCGATATCACAATCAGGCCATGTCTAGTAGAGCTTCTATCAAGAGAATTCGGCCGTTAGGCTCAACACCTTGTTCTTCGCCTGTCAAACAAAAGCCTCGTCAATGTCGTCAAACACCTGCAGTAACGCCTATTAGCTCCAGAGAAAATGAAACCCAGCCAGGAACATCATCAAAACCAACAATTGAAGAACTTCAGCATCAACCAGGTACATCTTCACAAGAGATAACCGAACAATCTCCGTTTTTCACCCCTAACCCCTATCAGGTGCTTCAGAATGATAAAGAAGTGATGGAATCCGCTTCAATACCAAGAGATCCCCGACCTCCACCCATATTCGTTAAAAACATAAGCAATTTTCAGTTACTATGCTCACAACTGAACAAAATAACAGGCTCTGGAAGCTATTCATGTCTAAGCAGAACAAAGGACACGAAGATATCACCAGATACAGCTGAAACCTACAGAAAAATTGTGAAGTATCTAACGGAAACCAACGCGGATTTTCATACGTACCAATTACGGCAAGATCGAGCTTTGAGGGTAGTCATAAGAAATCTACACCCCTCAACACCAACCGAAGCAATAGAAGAAGAATTGAAAACTTCAGGTTTCATAGTGCGCCAGATTACAAATGTACAGAAGGAGAGTAAAGAACAGCCAGGAGTAAAAGTTCCTCTACCCTTATTTTTCGTAGATTTGGAGCCAAATCAAGGGATCGAAAAAATATACGAAATAAGAAGAATATACTACACAAGTGTTATAGTAGAGAAGCCATATCCTAAGAGGGAAATCGTACAGTGTCACAATTGCCAGGCATATGGCCATACCAGGACTTACTGCCATCATCTGCCGCGCTGTGTGAAATGTGGAGAGCAGCACAAATCCGGGGAGTGCACAAAACCGAAACGGGATCCTGCAGTTTGTGCATTGTGCCTTGAAGGACATCCAGCGAACTACAAAGGCTGTCAGATCTACAAGAATATTAAATCAAGATATCAAAAATCCCGGACCCAAGAAGAAGCAGAGGCATCAAGAAGAGAACCTAACGCATCAAGAAGAGGACCTTCAAAAAAAATTGACCCAACGGTGTCTTTTGCACACTTATTAGGAGGTAAGAATGATGTTACTTATTGTGAGACCCTGCCGCAACAACAACACATACCTCAAAATTCTCAACCCCACCCTCAACATCCTAATCAAACTTCACCTAATCAACAGTTTTATCAACACCAAATTCCCCGCATTCCTCCTCCCTCAAATACCACAGATCTCACCAGTTTACTTACATCTTTCCTCTCCGAATTCAGATCCCTTGTTACTCCTTTGATATCTCTTCTCACCAATCTTGTATCACATTTTATCCCTCCCGCGAAAAATCCTTAAATGACTTCCAATAAACCTTTATCCATTCTCCTTTGGAATGCGAATGGTGTTAGAAATCACACAAACGAACTAACTACATTATTACTTGACAAAAATATTGACGTGGCACTAATTACTGAAACTCGACTAACCACTAAACAGCACTTCAAAATACCACAATACCTGACATATCGTACTGACCACCCTGACGGAAAGCACATGCCGGTACTGCTGTCATTGTACACCAATCCCTCTCCCATCACCTACTCCCGTTACCTACACATGATTTCCTACAGTCCACCGCTATCGTGATAAAAACCTTTTCCTTTCCGGTTACCCTTGCATCAGCGTATTGCCCTCCTAACCGATCCATATCCAATGCCCAATTCCGTTCTCTCCTCGACTCCTTAGGACATCACTTCATCTTGGGTGCAGACCTAAATGCCAAACATCAACAATGGGGTTCCAGAACCACGAATACTCGTGGCCGAACCCTGCTGTCTGCACTCAATTCCCAACATTTTCACTCCTTTCCCCCAACTCTCCTACCTACTGGCCTACAGATCCCAACCGTA